TTTTTACCTTTGTGCAAATTAGGTGTCAATCACCTCGTAGTTTGAACAAAACATACATTGGTTTATTACACTGATAGGCATAGAGGGTTAAAAAAAATGAACGGGGAATCCTCGCGACATGCTGACCCTCTTCTCCATAAAGTTGTACGTTGAGACGGTCTCTCCTTTTTGCCATGAGACCAACTATAGAAAACCGCATCCTTTTCTAAAAAGGCGCAGTTCCTGTTACCAATAACTTTAGTCCTGACACCTTCTTCTATAGTAGTAATCTGAGAATTGTTCCAAATTGTTTTTTTAAGTATTGTCCACCAAATTCCACGATGTTTGCCGGGGGATTGCGTCTAAGTAACCTCTGTTTTAGTACCTTGTATTCACTTTCTTAAACTGGGAATATTGTCATCCTCTGAACTTGGGTGCAAAAAGTGGCGTTCGAGTGGATGAACTGTTGCTTTCAGTTTTCTGTCGCTGTTTATATTCTAGGTAAAGATTTGAATTTTAGCCTAATTTAATCCTCCGAGCTTTTCTCTTTTCCACTAGCCAAATGCTTTAGAAATTTCGTCAAAATGTTAATAAACCTACCAACGAGGCGGACAATTTCCAAAGCATCTCTGAAATGATGCTGCGTTTATCCTTTATCCACATTTTTCTGCCCCCTATCGTTCGGATGCTGGCAAGGTAGCCTGTGTATGCTTCCATTTATAAATTTGATCATTTAATTCCCCAGCATTTCATCCTTGTCGGTATCCTAATTTTTACTTTTCTGCTTTCATTGCCGGTACAAAACAGGTTGTCCTTCTCGGTCTCTTCAACGGTCAGGGTCTCGACTTGACCGCTCCAAACTGTCACCTGCTTATGCGAATCTCTCCCGGCGAGACGTACATCAAATGCGTCATGAAGGATGGACGGATGCAGGGTGCCCTGCTGATTGGTGAGACCGAACTGGAGGAGACATTCGAAAACCTCATCCTCAACCAATTAGACTTGACATCCTTTGGTGAACACTTGCTAGACCCGAACATTGACTTGAGTGACTACTTTGACTAAAAATCACATTCTTCCACCCCGTTCACTTCTTTCTTTCGTCTGCTTTATTTTTGGGAGTCAAGGTATTGCCTATTTGGATCCGATTTTTAAAGCCCTGACACCACACACATATGTGCGTCGAGAACTCGCTTTTAGGTCGTCGACTGAGAAAATGGCTACCAACCCACGGGTGTAGTAGTAAGTAAACGTTTGATTCAGACATAAGGCATATTAGTGCAGTTGTTGATAAACGTTCATCGATCGCTAATCGGACTTACTCGTCCCAATTTGCCTTGACTCTCCTTTCTCGGATCCTGAAAACAGCCGCATAGCGGCTAGTAGTCTAGGCAGATAGTATTGCCGACAAAAACAAGGGAGACCGGAACGTTCTTTTCTGGCTTATTAGCCGTCGTCAGCCAGCCGTACCCAACCCCAATTGGTACACCACCCGAGGCTCGAACTCGTGACCTTTTCGGCCAGAGTCTAACGCTATAACCATTGAGCCACGAGCTTGATGCCTCGCCGGCTTAGGTCGGAAGATATTTACATTTGTTGATGAAAGTTTACCGATTGCTGACGGAACTCGCTTGTCCCGCTCTGTCTTGGCCCTAATTTCTAGGGTCCTGACAAAGGCTGAATGGTGGCTAGTAGTCTAGGCAGATAGTATTGCCACCAAAGACAAGAGAGACTGGAAAGGCCATTTCTGGCTTTTTAGCCATCGTCAGCCAGCCACAACCCAATTGGTACACCTTCCGAGACTTAATGGTTAGGGTGTTAGACTTCTGACCAAATGGTCGTTGGGTCGAGCCTCGGGTGGTACACCACCTGGAGTTTCGCCAACGACGGCTAACAAACCAGAAATGGCCTTTCCAGTCTATCTCGTCTTTTCTAGCTTGTTATGGCCCAGTTAGTTCGGCGTCGCCAGTTGTTATAGCCCAGTTAGTTCGAACCCGACGAATACGCAGAAGAAGCCAAGTGAGTGGTTCTGATAGCAAGCCTTTATTCAGGACGGTACAGAGACAACGGAATGGAAGTAGCGTGTCCACCACAGCCTATTATAAGGCTTTGGTCCTCTCAGACTAATCCTGACCAATCGCATGCGAGGGGATTCTGGCGTGCATGCTGAGTCGTGGTTCCCCACGCTGCGAGGCGTTTTTAGGAAATCTGCAGTGCACGTGTGCGCGGCCGGCCTGCGGCCATGACTCAAATGGCGTGCACTTCTTGCCTCCATAACATAGCTATACTATCAGTGTAGTATTTACGGTGGTACTCTTTAATACAAATTTCTTCAGTGCTAGTTGTGTTATCACCTCGACACAGACTTACCTCCGCTCCGCCGGAGTATACTCTTCGATATAGAAGCCTCACTAATGTATTGGAAACATTGACACAAGGCTGCTTCGGACTCAGGGCCTGACTATAAAATTGCGGCTCTCAAGCTTTGACTAAAACGGAAGTTTTGGGAGTAGTCAATATGTGTATAACTTACGGTTAGCTAATTCCCACCCTTAATGAATCTTGTAGTGTGTATATTTGAGTTCGAATTGGCATACATATATAGGTGTTTTCAACATTTACTAGGATCATCTTATACTGTATCATACATATCTATTAATCGGTGGTCGAATCTTGGTTCCTGCAAGTGTGAGTTTGGGAAGGGCTGGTTCACAACGACCAATGAGCCAGTAATGGCCATCTCAATCACCTTGGTAGTTGTCGGTACTCTTTTATATGCTATAGCTGTTAACCAAAATCCTGAAATGTGTTTTAGGTTAAAAAAAGCCTCACTTAGTCGGAGTTGTAATACTGGTTATCATGCAGTCTAATCTCATGATTTTTCAGTTACGGTAGGGCGCTGGCTTTTGAGCGAGTTTCTGTTTAGTCGTTTGTAAAAACCACTTGGCAAAAATGATCGCATAAATCCTGTCCAACTCCCCCATTTTCATTACCAATGCAGTTTTACAGGCTCGATGATGAATTGCCGAAAATATGTGTTTGTCAAAAGACTGTTCAAGTTAGATAGCATGAGTTTTTATATCTTGGTTTTCGATGTTTTTATAACTTCAGATATATTTTATAGATAAGATGTACGGCATTTTTTTGTGGATCTCACTTGCTAGCACCTAACGCATTCTTCATACCAGAAAAAGGATAACTTTTGGTGTCGTAACAGTCTGTAGCTGTGAGATTTGAAGACAGTGCCTTTATTAGTGCTCCTTAACAATTCCCCAACGTGGTCCGGATCTCATACGAGATTGTGTTGGTTTCATATGACGTAATGGCACGATTTTCCTCGCCCGCAAAGTTTGCAGAATGTAATGGTGTGGAAACTCGAGGAGAAAATGAACCTGCAGGTCGGGTTCAAACCTATTGGAGATCTGCAGAGTTTCTTTAAATTGAAAGTTACCTTTCTAGTAAGAAATGTGAAGGAGACGTCATTAGCTATAAAATGAGTGCGACAGATAGTTGAATTCACGTTTTCCGCAAAATATATGTAGGCATCAAAATCGACGTCAAAATGCATCATACATCATAGTCCTTTTTCTTTACCAAGTGTATTGTTTGCACGTGACGAAATGGATGCTCCTTCAAAAGTGGGGATCTTGTCGTGACTGAAATTTGTTGTTAGGGGGGTTTTGGCAGATTTTCTGAACTTAACTGACCCAATTGTGAACATATCGCGGCGTCGGCGGGAGTCGAACCCACACAACAGGGAAGGCCTTGACGCAGCCAACGCTCTACCGATTGAGCTACGACGCCACGCCGTGCGCCGTGAATTGAATCACACTTGGATCGATTTTACCCGTCCAAATGTGTTGAACGTATGCTGAATAATTCTCAATATCAAAAATTCATCCTTTTAATTCTTCTCAATCGAAAATGCATTTGAGAATTTTGGTTAACATATCTTGGAATAGGAAAGCTATTGTATGTATACTGTACGTAAGGGGATCGTCGACTTAGTACCAGATAGTATCTGAAAGCAGGCTGATCGGTGCACCGGTATGCGGGGTTTCATCGTATTCCACTGACAAGGGGGGTGGCAGCGGTTTTGGCTTCAGTTCTCTCCTTAAAGAACGCGTCAATGTTGATTTCGCGAAGAGGTCGAGGCAAAAATTGTGGAGTTTGTCGACTTTACAGAAGTCGAAGACAATATAATTTGAACGCACATCACGCGGCATTTTGGTACGGGTTTGGATAACGAACTTGTCCACGAAATGTGACCGCGCGATCTGAATATCGAAAGGCACTCTCATGACAATCTGAATCAGTTAATTAGACAAGGTTAGGGCTATCTCCAAGACTCCATGCGGTGCCTCCAGTACCCTATATAGTGCATAAATTGGAATATCCGCCTCTGCAAGCATCCACAGGAATCTCGCAGTTTAGAGGTGTGGTGGGGTTCGTCCAGAGCAGTAGAACGGATGATGGTGTTCCACAGGTGACACCACGGTGCCTCTGCGGTAGCCTGATCTTTCAGTTGCTTGCTGGTCTAATTGATAGTCAAAATCAGTGCGATGTGCTGGCAAATACAACAGGCCAGTATTTAGTTTACCTGGTAT